CATATGACTAAAAGCATGATCTAGACACTCCTTGACCTCTGACAGGCTTGGTGCCTTTTTCAGTGCATTACAGTTTTTTACAAATGATCATCTCTGCACATAGTACACTTTAAATTGAAAACATTATTTCTTATTTTTTTAAGATAATCTTCTGAATCATTTAGGGTTCTATCAGAATCCCAAGAATCATAGAGTTTGCCTGCTGCTTTGAAGTACCCCTCATGAGGGTGGGAAGGATTCTTCTTTCTAATCTCCATAAAAGATATTGATGGAGGGGTTCTGAAAATACAGTTTGTGTTCGATGTTGAAGTTGCCTAAAAATTGGACAGGTGTACATACTCAGACATTCTCATCTGAGAAATTGGACAAGTCTACTGCAATGTGTGTGGCAGAGAAGAACACTCAAAACGCATCCAGCCTAGTTCTCCCCAGAAACTACTGCAGTGAATGGAAAAGCTGTAGCTGTAGAAACATAGCTCTTAAGAAGTGGGGATGTAGAGAAAATAATGTATTGGCACAGGGATGCTAATTACCAGGTCTTATTAATGAAAATTGGGGTGTGGAATCTTTGCCACTTTGTAGGCAGGAAGCAGTGTTTTATAAAGGTAAGGAAGCCACATTACTACTTGATATTGCAAGGGTGAAGCCTTGGATTTGACTGCAGCTGCTTTTGCTCCAATAATCTTGTAGAAGCTACAAGATTAAAGTGACCTTTCAAAATGAAAGTCATGGTGAAAGGTCAAGAAATTTACATTATAAGTGTATGTAGTCTTGATACCTTAAAGATCTCTGGAAAAACACATCATCACCCTGAAAAGAAAGGGCAGAGAGTCCAATAATGTCATGTCCCTGCAGCCCTTACTTGTTGGAGGAGCTGCACAGAAATGTTTCCACAGCCAAGACAACTGCATGGGATCCTTCAGTCTTACCACCTCATTTTAAGGTCGAGGGCTTCAGTGTTTGTTCAGAGATGTGTGCCTGCTTCTATGCTTCTATGCATACTGTCCCTGTGGGCCTCATGTCATGTAGTTCTTGTCATTTGTCATTACTGTTTGGGGTGCTTTTTGCAATAGCCCAGGATGCTCTTGCACCACTTGGTAAGCATGGCTATCCAGCGATAAGCACACCAGGCTTGTGAGATCACAGCCAGTCCTCCTGTCCTTTGCATCACCAACTGCTTAGACTTTGGGCACTGAATTGCCTTCAATAAGTGCTACTTTTTATTAACAAGTGAACTGATAGAAACTTGTTTTGGAGTTATCTGAGATATTAAATCCCTTTATCTTTTTAAGAATGAAGGAGCTGCATACCCCACCTGAGGTCTGAGCCCTGTTTCATACTGGCTCGCCTTGCACTGTCTCTGACCTCAACTGTTCCATTTTCTGGTAGGCTCTTGGAGCAGGTCTTGCAGTTGGGTGCAGGTCTGGCTGCAGCTTCAGGACTTGAATCTGCCTGCTGGCCCCATGGTCTCACGTGTCTGTGTGATGTTTTCCAGCATATTACAATCCCTGTGTCCTGGGGGCCGCTGAGACTCAGTAGGATCTGCGTAGCCTTTAGTCCAATCTGGAGCCATGGGGAGAGGCTCCCCTGCAAGCCCTGTTCTGAGCTACAGCAATGGGAGTTGTATTACTGGAAGGTGGGCATTTGTGCAAACTAAAGAAAACCAACATGGCTGAGAGAAGAAAATACCCATGAGCTCAGAGAGTCCCCGAAGACTGTAAGTTGTGCTGACAGTGCATTTCATGGGGGAAAAAAAACTCCTCACAAAATAAGTCAGACTCTTGAAAGACCACTGTACAGGATCTGTATATAGTCAGCTGTTCAAAGGTGAAAGAACTTCTCTCCAGTAATTATTTAAAATATGCTTTATCAAAGCTCAATTCATGCTTCATTAAGATTTACCTGACAGAGGCAACAGTGAGGCATGATGTGTGTTATTCCATTTATGATTTTCATATAGTATGAGTCTTGGTATTGCTGGCCAAAGCCTTCGCATTCCAAAGCAGAAATCTTGTACATTCCAGAGCAGGCATATACACAGATGACTTGCAATTATAATAAGGTAGTAAGTAGAATTGATTTTCAGCATGGAGCCTTGTTACTACACAGTTTGAATCAGAACGATCATGAGCCAGCTTAACTTGTCACGTTTTAGACTGGTGCAGGTTCTGTCCTTTACATCATTTTCCAGAATACCTGACAGATAAAACAAGGTATCTGCCCTCTTAAAGCTCCCTCCCTGTGAGTCAGTGATACCACATAATGCACAGAGGTACCTGTTTAGGCTTCTGACAATTTAAGGAAGTTCTAAGATGAAATAATGAAACAAAACAGGGTATGAACAAAATTGTGACAATTACTTAAACTGTTCTTCAGGTATCCCAAATTAAATTTCATCAAAACTGTGATGTAAAAATCTCTTACTTTACCCCTGGCCCAAAGATTGATTTTTTTCCAAGACAGAGATGGTTGCCCCAAACTACTACCAATGTAGAATGGAATAGCTGGCACCTTTAACTTGAAAATGACTGTATGTCTGTCTTGCCACTAGGCAGGAAACACCTGAGGTCCATCAGGACTCAGGTCTGTGAGGCTTGCAAGGTCTTGTAATTGGATCCATCACAAGTGATGATCTGTCTGATTCTTACAGTGTTCACTGTGGCTCCCAGGCACCTGTTTGACCTCAACAGTTGTCATCGCCGAGAACTCTGAAGTGTCCTGGAGAACCCTGGCTCAAAATCCAGCAAATTAAATTTAGTACAAACCAAGAACTTTAGAACATCCTATTTTAAGATTTTTTTTTTCAGTTTCCTCACCTTCAAAAGTGAGACATCCTTAGACCATTATTAGTGATGACAGTGACATTTCATGTTCTGCTTCATACATAAATATGAATTTCAAGTATGGAAGAATTTGGAAGAGAGTGGAAAAACCAGCCTGAAGAGAATTTGGAGGGAAGTCATTATTATTTATCATCAGGGAAAATACATGGCTGGGAAACTACCTCATATCAGTTATCTCCACATCTGTGGAGTTTTTCATTTATAATAGTTCCTTGTGTGGACTCAGCTGTTATTTTCTTTTTTTATTTTCCCCCTATTACATATATCACTAAGTGGAAGATTGTTTGGTGGAGGAAGAGTAATCTTACCACATTTAAAGAAGTGAGTAAAGGTGTTCTATAAGATTGGGGCCATTCAGCTGATTCTGAATTACTTTCTCCAGAGTCAAACTGCACTAAAATCCAGCTCTCAACCTGCAGTGGCTGGGGGCTGTCACTGCCTCCCCAGCCCACTCCTTTCTCTTGTGTTTCAGTAGATCAGCTGAGCAGAGCCAGGCTGGGGAGCAGCCACGTGCACGGTGTAAGGCAGACAGAGGCTCGGGGCTCGGGCAGGGACAGGGGCTGCTGAGCAGTCCAAGGAATCACATCTCTTGCTGGATTGCAGCAGCACAAGGAAAGATCCGTGTCTGCTTCGCACAAGGATGCCCAGTGCTAAGGGAGGCCCAGAGGGAGGGGAGAGGATGCGGTTGCATTTGTGTTCAGTGTTCTGTTCACTGAGGACAGTCCAGAAAAAATAAACTATACACCTCTTCCCCTGTCCACATCCATGTCCAGACCTGCAGCCTGCTGTCTCTGGGCTCACATCCTTATTCTTTCGATAGGAAATCTCATGGTAAATGTTTTCTCTCTCATACAACTGAAGTGAGGTTCTAGCTTACCTGCTGCCAAATCCAGTCACAGTTTGTCACAGCCATTGCTGGAGGTACTTGGGGTTATTTAGTGGACTGTACTGGAACTCAGAGCTTGTCTTCTCACAGACAAGAAGACTCAAAGTTTTTGAAAGCCCTGGCAAGACACACACTTTGTCAGCCAGGGCAGGACAAGTTGTGTTACCTTGTGAGCATGTTGTGAACTGGTACAATTAGACACCAAGTGTGTAATTCCACACCTGTACAGCATCTGTGAATGGAGCTGGATTACTTCCAGCCCTGCGGACGAGAGCTGCTTACTTGCTTACACCTTCTGCCATAAATCCAAGATGCTTTCCCTGCTTGCTTTTGCCCTGCTGCTGCATTACACAGCCAATGACCTCCCTCTTTCCACCCTGATACTGGTGAATGACAAGTTTAACAAGATTTATCCTGCCTATGTACTTGTCTAAAGCTGTTGCCTTTAATCCAGCCACCGAGAAGATTATTCTTTACCTACTGGAAAACACGGTGTCTGCGCTTTTGTGGGGCTTGCCTGGAATTTGAATGTGCCTCTGTTTATGAAAGTTACTCTCTGGGAGAGGAAAAAGTGTGTACAACTATTTACTGCTAGTTTCTGATTTGTTCCATATCTCTTGCAGCTTGAATGAGAACTCATGGTCCAGCTTTCCAAGTCCACAAAATTACTTTACCTTAAGTTCATTAATTACCCAGCTTTATTTGTTTTCCTCAGTCTTTTTTTCCCACAGGTTTCTAGGGTGATTTATTCAAAATGCATTAAGTAACCTATTAAGAACTGTTCTTAAATGCATTTTCAGTATTTTATGATAAAAAAACATCTTGAGGTGCTGATTCTCAAACCAAAAATGGAGCAGCTTCATCTTGCTACAGCATCACTCAGGAGTGTGAAAGATGTCAATAACAGAGAGGGTTTGAATTCCATACAAATCTTTCTCTATCAAGAAAAGGCTTTAATTAAAAAGCAAGTGTGTTTTTTTCATTTTAAGATGCTGGAGCTCTTTATCATTTGGCAGGTCAGTATTCAGCCTGATGCTTCAAGTGTTAAGATGAAAGCTGTCCATTCATGACCTGTAATGAATATTTCATTTTCTCTCCATATATGGAGAGAACAATAAACAATAAAAACTCAAAAGCAATTAAAATTAACTGTAAGAATGACACTATCAATCTTGAAAAATAGCATTTATTAGTATCACCTGGAAAATGTATCACTTTCCACCATTTAGACCACTTCAGATACTTTACACAGATTTAGTAAAATCAGAATGTTTACAATTAATCTTTCAACCAACATTGAAAGATTTGACTTTTTATTGGAGCAGTAAAAAAAGCTCATCTTTGACTTGCTCTCAATGACATGGGATACATGAAATCAATGCCCACAGACACATCTCTTTCCAGCCCTTCCCACTAAAATTTAGAGTACGAAGCAGCTGTTTTCTGATGGTGAATGCTCCAATTGCTGCGTGCTCACTGGCAGAAACATCTACTTTTGCAGATCCCTTTGCTCCACAGCAGTCATACAATTTAGAATGTTACAAAGAAAACCTGCCTCAAATGAAGTCAATGCAGTCTTCCCATAGTTTTCAAGGGTATTGGGATCAAGGGTGCCTAGGTTTTTACATGCCAATCAACAGAATACCATAAGACCTCTTGGAATGTTGTATCTTTTAATTTGGGGAATGTAATGATAAATGAAGGCAAGCTGTATGATTACTAATGTAACTTTTGGTTGTGAAGGCAGTACTTTCAAAACCAAAATCCTCTGTTAATAGTTGTCAAGAATATCCTTTCCCCTTTTTTACTCTAAGTATTACAAATTTATTAGAATTTCTGAAGTAAAAGTTTAAGTGAAGTCTATGTTCTTCAACACACTTAGCACTGACAGGCCAAAAATTCATGAACCACAGAGCAGTATCCCCAAAACCTGACAACCGCAGGAGATCAGTCTGCTGAGATGCATCAAGGTGCACATGTCACTGTCAGTATGGATGGTGTTTGGGAATTCTGGATATCATTCCAGGAATGGCATTTTTAACTGCTGGCCACAGTTTCATTAATTCCCATACATTCCTGTCCCTGCTGTTCCCAAAATACTATGTTCAGTGAATGAGAGGTCAGGTTGAAAAATAATTTGTAGTTGAGTTTTTGCTCTCTTATCCAATAAAAACTGGGTATACTGAGGAAAGTGACTGTGGGTATCCTGTATCAGCTGTATAAATTGTACTATTTAAGTGTTGCATGTAAGTGCTACAATCCCAACTGGATTTGTGACTTAGCTATTAGAACCTTATTCTGGATTGGGCCTTGACTCAGATTTTCTTCATCCTCAAATACAGACAGTTAATGTTGAACTAATTGAGTTGCTTGCAAGAAGACAAACTTCTGTTGTGGTTTTACAGTTTTGCAGCAGGACAAGTGGATGCAGTATGTTGGTGCAAAATTGATCATGTATAATTGAAGAAAATTGCTTTTATGTAACCAGAAAGTACTGAAGTGATACCAGAATATATATACATCTAACTATGAAATACTTTGTAGTAAAAAAATCCAGAGAAAATGTGATATCAGTGAAACTTGTCTGAAATGACCAATAAAAATATGCTGCTTAAATTAAGTATCTTATCAGAATTATTTCTAAGAGAAAGTAAGCATGAATGTGCTATACTGTAAGTCTGTAAGTACTGTAAATACTATAAGTACGCTAAAAGGTAAATATTAGAGAAAGAGAGCTTCCTCAATCTTAGAAGAATTCTTAAATTCGTTAGGCTTAATTATATTTTTATGGTAATGATATATGTGCTGATGAGTGTCGTCTAATCAGTCTTTTTAATCTTCCTGTAGTGCAGGATTGTGGCTGTGACCCAAATATTGAGAATGAGCATGACTATGAAACGGATGAGAACTAAAAGAGAAAAAAAATATTGTAAGCATAAATCAAAAAAATCAACCGCTGTTACAACACTGGTTTGTAAACTTTTGCTGGTGTACACACAGGGTGGTTCACATTTGGAAACTGTTTTCAGCCAATTAGTTTCAATTACCATGTTCAGGAATCCACACATTCTGAGCATGAATCCAAGCATTTAGCACTTGATCACTTTCAGAGATAGCTCAAAATTATACACTTCAGTACCTTTAATTCTTTTGTAACCTGGAGAATAGTACAAGCATGAGAAGCATCATATAAATTTATATGTACACTAAAAGTTAAATTCAGAGTCACAGCTCACATGTCCTTTATAGCTGCATGTGTTATTTATAATAAAGGAACTACTCTCTAATGCTATCTCTTAAGTTTAGACTTTGAGAAGACAGGAGATACTTGGATCTGTCAGACTTTAATGACAGAAAATCTGACAAAAAAGCAGTTTTTCAGTACCTGGGTTAAATCAGCTTTAAACCATAACAGCACTGTACCTCTACCTGTGAGAAGGTATTTAAAGTATAGGATGTCTGATGTCTATTTGGTAGGTGGAATATTCACACAAATGTACACAAAACTTTGTTTCAGAACTATGCAATATCTGACTCTTTCCTACGTGTCAATGTGTTCAGTTGCAACTTAATGGGAAACATTTTCCATTAGAGCAGCACAGCATCAGTGTTTGCTGCTGGCCCTTCCATGTGCCAAAGTGGATGGTGCTGTGTTTCAAACAGCAGCTTTACCCAGCACCAGCTTTGCTTTCCTGGTGTTTCCTCCCTCCCCACAGTGAACCCCTCCCTCCCCCTCAGTGTAAATGTGTAGCTGTGGGTGACGTAGACTCAGTACCTGACCCTGACCAAATCCCTGCATGAGCATTTTGCCAAATTTTGGTGACCAGTTAACTGCAGAGCCCCACAAACTCCTTACCTTGGCAAAGAAAAAGCAGCAAGCATGGGGGTGGAAATGTGGGCCAGAAATGGGACTTCCCTTTCCGGTGAAAGACCCACTTGAAATGCTTGCAAAGCTACAGCTTTATTGGGCTGCAGAGGCTGCTTAAAAATTTCAAAATCCATTCAAGTGATGTTTATGATGAAACAGTTTTGAACAAGAACAAGGAACCACCAGATGAAGTACAAACAGATTGTTACTGTTTCTTGCATCCATCAAGCCTTGATTTTGAACAATTTACTGAAAAATCTGTGACATTCCCTAGCTCTTGTGGTTTTCTCAGGACAGTAAGAAGCTGTTAAATAAATCTGTTTTATAATTTGTTGGAAATTATATATTTTAAGTCAGTCTTAAAAAATTTCTTACTAGCCTACCATTTTATTTTCAGCCTGTCATAAACCTTCTGAATGTTGGACCTAAAACTGTTCACATACTAGTTTTGGTTTTTAGTTTTCTAAAATAAATTTTTTTTATTCAAAAAGCTGTCAATAAGTGAAATACTTATCACTTGAAAATCTCATAAAATTACTACAGGTTTTTTAAACTTGTTTTTTAGTATATTTATTTATTTATTTATTTATTTATTTAAATAGTAAATATTTTAATACTTTATTTTGCTATTTTGTAGTGCTTTTGCCATTTGGAAAAAAAAAGGCCTTTTGGACCAGTTGCACCACATGGCAAGCATAAGCAGTTTTCTGGCTTTTTTTTTTATGTCTTTGCCTGATTTTTAATCCTGTGTAACTCCTGCCCTCACCATGCTAAGCTATCACATTCATGGTTTGTTCTTGTGAGACTTTCTAAGTGTTTTGCAACACAACTAAAAACTACTGTGACAGCTGTTCCCTTGGAAAGGCAGAGAATTCCATACTTCACTCACCTGCAAAATCATTTGTAGTCAATAGAGTTGTAATAATTCTTGCTGTAAATTGAATGAATTCTGATTAGTGGAACACATAGGACATTTATACTTCTAAAAAATTATGAAATATCTGTTTTTCAACAGAAGATCATCTTGCATGAAAATATATACTGTACACATTCCCACTTTTATTAGTGTGTCCACTCTTCACTATTTTGGCTTCGGAGATCAAGTTCTCAAAACTGACTGACCCTAATATATTAAGGGTCTTTTTTAATGAGAAAATCACAGATATAATTAGAATTTTTACATCTAGATATAATTAGAATTTTTACATCTATCACTCTAGATTGGATGTGGTCAGTTTACTGCTTTTCTTCCTGTTCAGCCCCTCTGTCAGGAGCTGACAATGAGCTACAGCCACAGTTGAGTTAGCATGACTTAACCATTGGGAATGTTCACGCCTTCAGGTTTTGCAAATACAAGGAATTCAGCTTCCCTTCCCACAAGGAACCTAAATGTTAATTATTTCACACTTGCAGCAGAGTAAAAGCATTTATAAAGTTTACTGTTGCTGTTCACCACAACTTGTAATTACTGGCTTTTTTTCATGTAGAAATAGATCCAGCATCACTGGATGATAAGTTTTATTGTGAGAATATTTTAAATGAGTTTTGTGAAGATGCAAAAGGCACTTCTGACAAACAGCTGTAGAACTGTTCATGCAGACCACTGGGGAATTGCCACAGGAACTCCACAAATGACTGTTCATAAATTCTGTCAAGAAATGTAATTACAAGTAGCCATAGAGTTAAAGGTATTCAGTTAAAGTGTGTATTTATTTGTAGACAGCTTTTCAAAATTAGCATTGTCTGACTGTATACCTGAAATTTTAGCACCTTTTCATGCTGGACCACTAGTAACTTTATTAAATCATAGAACATGGAAAAATTTTCCTCATAAAGACAGTTCAGTTTCAGTTATTTCAATTCCACTTGGTCATATTCACACTTTAAGTCATTGGTTTTTATCACTGGTGTCAAAGATAAAACTTGTTTTCAAGAGACTGTGTGTTATCTGAGTCCCAGGTGTCAGCACTGAGGGAAACCAAGGCAAGATCTTCACCTAGTATGACTGAGTAAAGACCTATGAAAGAAGAACTAGGAGAACTCAGTACTTCACACCAAAGTTGTCTGTAGCTTACCTGCAGAGGCGTATACAGACATGCCCCAGGTCAGGGCGCTCGCTTGTCCGGCATCTTTGGTCTCCCAGAGATGCTGCAGCTGAACCAGCTTGCTGGCTGCACTGATGAGCGTGCACAGATTCTGAAAAGCAGGTGAAAAAGAGAGAGAACCTCTGCCTCTGCCATGGTATTATCTGAATAGGAACAGCTTTTCCATTTAGAATTTTTTAAAAAAATGACACTTTTCCAGTATTTGGCAACCCAAGTGCTTTGGCTTCTTAGTAAGGAACAGTGAAGCAAAAAGTGGGAGTTGCCAGAAACAAGGACTCATTTCTGAGGTACTGCCCAGCAAGAAGCTCAAAGAGCACAGTTGCTACTGTTGCTGACAAATGCTTGACAGAGGCAAATGCAGTAAGAAGGAAAGAAACAAAAAGAGCTTCTCAACCTGCTCCATAAAATGTTTATAGAAGTCACCTAAATGAGACTGACCTAGTCTAAACAGCAAGGTTGATTCAGACCATCTGTTACCATTACGTCTGGCAAACCAAACCATAAAGGAATGAGAAAACTGACAAGAATGTGTGGAAAATTAGTCCAATTGGAGGGAAAAAATAGTAACAGGAATGCATTATTCACTCAGCCCCCCTTTCAAAGGGGATTTTGCAAAGGCAGCAGGTAGAGAGGACTCCACATGGGCCTTTGTGCCGTGCCTGGATTTCTGCTGCAAGTAAGGATCAGCGTAGGGCTTGGAAGCTTTTCTCCCCATCTGTATCATCTTTTGCATTAGCAAGATCCTATTCATCTCAATTACTTTTTTTCTTTCTCTCTCCTGCTAAGAAAAGACCATCTTTAACCTTTGTAGGCGTTATCAGATTATATTTTTCTTGCAAAATTGTATGACTAAAGGGGAAAAAAGAAATATGTCACAATCCCCGTTTCAAATGCTTTGATGCTTTATTCTCTTCCTCTTGTGTTAAAGGTTTATTGGTTGGGATTATGACGTTAGGACTAAAGTGGCAGTAGAATTTCAACATTTGAAGTATTTGCTAGTTTTAATTAAGGCACCACCAAGTAACAACTCATCTCAGAACATGCCTTTTTTCCCCCCATAGAGCCTCTATTTTCGGTGCTATTTTCCAGCTACTTGCAAAAGAAAGAACCTGTATCTGAAAACTGGTGGGTTATTCTGAAAGCTAACCAAAATTACAAATTCTTCCAAGGACATATATATAGGAGAGAGTCCACTAATAAATACTTCCAGAAAAAAAAAGTCATTTCATGTGAAGATCTAATTTCAGATAATCATGTAGCACTTACCATGGCCAGGTCTATTATCCACTTCTGCAGTGTTATCATATACCAGCCCACCCAATATCTTACATTACATTAAGTTTCATAGCACTTAAATTATAGGATACAAAGTTCTCAAAACTGCCTGAGGAATAATATTCTTTTAAACATCTGGAAATAATCTTATTGAAACTTTTTAACAGACTATACAATCAAGATAAAACATATTCAGAACTGGTTGAAACACTACGTGTTCCTATTTTTCAGACTGTCTTTGGTCAAATAGTGTCTGGAGTTTCTCAAAACCTGCTCCAAAGCACAAGATTTGAGATTTAAACCCAAGTCCTATTTAGAAAAAACCCAAACAGTGCTGTCTTTATTGTAAGTACAACCTGCAAGGGTAGGAATTTAAAAAAAAATTAATTAAAAAAAATCTGATATTTCTACTCTGCATCGCTGTAGAAAAGATGTAAATTAAGAATTTAGTTTACTCTTTATCAGTTGGGAGCCTTCTAAAGCAGAGCAAACATATAAAGCTTACTTCCTGCAGAGGTTTTACTGTGATCCCAGAAATCAGCACAGGAATGTGGAATACCTGTTGAGAGGTGCCTGAGAATGATTTACAATAGTAGCACACAATGATGACACAGCTGCTATGCAAAGAACTACCAAACAAGCCACATAAACCAAAGCTCCCAGATTTCAAAGGATACACGAGTGCATAGAAACAAGCTCGTCTCACTTTTCCACTGAAATGCATAATACAGCTAAGGAGAATGACATCTGCAATAAACAAAAGATGGCTCGTCACAGAAAGGACTGAAGGGGCCCAAACACGATCCCAGACACTTCCACTGGGCACGAGGTCTGCGGAAACTCCTTTCTTACAGCTTTTGTCTCTCAAATGTGATTGATGATCAAAATACTGCCATCTCCAAAACTAAGGTTTTTCTTAGAGTCTAAGTGTTTAGTATGTTTCTCTCCCATGTGGAGAAACCAGACAAAAGGATGAGTTTACACTGTGACTCTGTGTAATAATTAGGTTTTTCTCCTCTACCTGACCATCTCTTTCAATGGCATTTAAAAGAATTCAGTTTTATATGAGATGTTAATTCCCTCTTTTCCCCAACTCCAGCATCACTGCAGTGGAGCACTGTACCTACATGCAGAGACTTGGAGTGCTGAATGAGCCCCATTTCGTTTCCAAAACATGGCTTACAAAAATTACCTTGTGCAATGACGACAGGAAACTCCAGGTATGTCTCCAGGGGGTAACCATAATAGATCTGGTACCTCAGAAACACAAGGAGGCTGAACAGAGAGATACAAAACATGACTGCACAGAGGGACACAAATGCCTTCACAACATTTATACTGTTTTGGTGGTGCCAAAAGGCTCCAGATAGGTGTAGCCCTTGCTGTCAAACTGATAAACAACAGGCACACAGAGCAAGCCTGATCATTCTGTAATCTATTTCTGTTACCCTCACTGCCCACACTTCTCATCAAGGTCTTTATGTTGCAGTCTGTAGGGCATAATTTTATTTATTATAATTGCTGAGAAACAAATGAAGGCTTCCAGATCTAGGAGATATCTCCTCTCTGCAAGAGCCTTGGCACCTCCAGGATAACTCTGATTTCTTTATTTACATCTGTAGTTCAATTTGTACATTAAGAAAGTGTTATAAGGGTAGAAAATGTCTTCCAAGCTGTCTAGACTACACTGTTATGAGATTACTCAGTGTAGCTCTACTGATCAGACTGTCTGTTTCTAAGTGCACCAAACAATGGCAATTTTCCTTCCTGCCATTCCACAATACAGTACCTAAAAGGAACTGAACTTTTATGGTTTTTGTACTTCCAGTTCTCCTGCAAGTCCATGGGGTTAGATAGAAAATTCAAAGCTGTACAGAAAACAGAAAGGACTCAGAGTAGTTTTACATAAGAAAAAATATTATGGTTTCTGGTGTAGAAAAATGGCAGAAGGAACAGCCTGCCTTGTAAGAAACTGGCTTTTACAGTTTTCAGAATTTAAATATCTGGACTTCCTAGGAATGCTATTTGATGTAGAGTCAAATTTCTCTGTCACCCCTCACACCTGGTCACTCTATGTTGATTTCACAGAACCAGCCCAGCTTGTACTGGTAGTCACACAGCTCCCTGAAACTGGATTCAAACTATTTAAAGGTAGGAGGATAAACAGTCTACTAAATACAACAAATGTTTCAAAGACCAGAACCTGTAATTGTGTGGGTACCGTGGTTCTCACACAGGTGCTGAAGAGACATTTCCAGCTTCTCCATGCTCATCTCAAACATTACTTACAAACACTTTTTAATGCACTCCAACGCACACAAATGATTGAAGTGTTGTCACCGCTTTTTGGCTGAGGCTGTGGGGTCACTCATCTCTGCTGGAGCTCCAGTTTGCTTCATTTACTCTGAGGTGTGTTAAGGGTAAACAGCAGAAACACGGGTTCAGTGCTGCAGAGAGAGGCGGGCGGGGAGCGGCCACGGCGGAACCTGAGGGATTCCGCACAGCTCCACTGAGAGGTGTCTGTAAACGGAGCTGTGGCCCTGCCTGGAGACATGGCACGGGCACCCTCAGACACAGCACGCCGTTTTTGTGAGGGGATTTTTCTGGATGAAACCCCCTTTCCTAGCAGCCGGCCCGGCTGGATGTTCTGCCCGCCTCAAGCCCCCGGTTGGGACAAGGCAGGGCTCTTCCAGGTGCTTTCTCTCGCTTGTACCCACACCTGAACGTGCACACACCGAGCTTATTTGTTTGTCGTTTCATACAATCCTCTTTAAGCAAGATTTAATAAGCCTAGCCCATGTAAGCTCATTACAGGCTCACAAGTCTTTGGAGTTTGACACGGCTTGTAATTTTCTTAAGGAATTATTTAAGTCTTACTGATTTGGGTGAGGGAAGCCTGTCTGACGAGTACAGCTACCTGCACCACAGGGCACACGGGCCACTGAATAACCTAAACACAGGCTTACACCCTCTGCAGCTGCTGTATGCAGCGACATGAGTGGTCCGGGATGGTTTGGAGCAAGTCAAAAAAGACGAGTTTCCCTTTAAATGAAAAAGCGGAATCACTAAAACAGGAAGTTCCTTCCCGAAAGGCTCTGTGGGTTCAGCTGGGCTGGTGCTGAGCTCCGAGCGGAGCGATGTGGCGCCGTGGGAGCGTGGAGAGCTCACCGCCCCCAGGCCGCCCCTCAGCGCGCCCTCACGCCCGACCTGAGCCGCGGAGGAAAGAATGAATCTCCGGCTGCCGTAGCAGCCCCGGGGCCCCGCACCCCCGGCCGAGGGGACCCGCGGCTCCAGCCGCTGCTCCCGCCGCAGTCCCCGTGTGCCCCCGCCGCCTTACCCGGCCAGCTCCAGGAGGAGGCTGCTCACGCTGAGTCCCCACGCCGAGCCGGCCCTCAGCACCGCCACCAGCTGCGGCAGCTTGATCACGGCACACACGGCCCAGGTTGTCAGGTGCACCAGGTCCAGCAGCCCCGGCGCCATCCCGCTGCTGCGGCCCGGGATGGGGATCCGCAGAGCGGCGGGCAGGGTGCGGTGGGACGGTGGCGCCGGCGCTGCCCTCACGGAGCGCCCGGGGTGCCCGCACTGCCCGGGACACGAGGAGGGGAGAGCCAGGCCCGGCGGAGCACCCGTGGCCCCGGCAGGAGGGGCAGCGCCGCGGTCACCCCCGGCCCGTGGGGCTGAGCACGGCGGTGACCCAGGGGACCGCTAGTTGAGGTCTCCCTACCTCTGATTCCCTCGGTGAGCGGGCCGAGAACCGCTCCGCTCCAGGTTCGGAGCACTGGTCCTGGAATAATGAGTTTGTTACCATAAACAGCATCCCCGAACAGCGATGATGTGATGCTGTGCTGGCCATGGGCCGTGTTCATCCCGGAGCAGTGCAGGTCAGCCCCGGCTTTGGAGCTGTAGGCTGCAGCTCAGTTTTCTCCCCCAAAGTAGAGTCCCCACTGCTCCAGCGCCTGTCGTTTTCAGGTCACTCTCTCTGGACTGCTGTGGAACTAATTCCTGCAGCAGGGATCACACGGGTCTGACAGCAGCACTTTATTTTTACAAGAAAAATGTGCAGCAAAATTAAAAATTCCTAAATGCTGAACTTGTCAGATGATACCAAAATTGGCTGAAAAAACTTTTAAACACAATTTGAAGTATTAGAAAGCAGGCATTCTTTACTTGTGGAGGACACAGTGGGTTTATTCTGTGTCTGGAGTGAGACTTTACAGCAGGATTTTGTTCATTATAACTATACATATTCATTAAAACATGCTTCTTATTTAATATATAAATATCACTTTACTAGAACTAACATGCATGCATTCATCTCTTACTGGAAGTTTATGGTTCTGGAGGTTTCTTAAGAGGGGTCTTTGGTGATTGTATTCACGGAATGCTTTGATATTAAAGGTGACTTTCCCTTGAAGTTTTTCTTTGTGTATGCACTGTTGTTTCTTGTTATATAAAATTTGCTAAAAACCCACTGTAGGCCTCCTTATCTGTTTCTCCACAGCTGTGTTTATCATCCTGTGTGCATATCTTTACATTATTTTTTTTTTTGACAGTTAGTCTTTCAGCAACATCAGGGGAGCTGAAAATTGTTACTCTTTAAGTTATTTATCACAGGTTATTGGAGATAGAGTAGCTTCTCCAAAACATACACCTACCCACCACACACAGTTACATACAAGACCAGTAAAGTTTTTGCACTTCTCAGTTTGTCAGAACTAAATAAAGGTTATCCTAGGACCACACATTTGTACTGATTATGCATGCTCTGAATCTTGGCTGTTTTGTGCCTGCAAATGGCCAGGACTGCTCTGACTGTCAAATCTACACCATTAATTCGGAGTTTTAACTAGAATGTAATTGCTTTAACATGAGAGGTTATTTGCAGGCATAGCATTTCTTCTTTTTCATTTTAATTTTAATGAAAGTTGTATTTTACTATGGCAAATAGTTCTTAAAATGGCTTAAAATGGGTATATTGCATTAATTCCACATACCCTTGGTGGTATTTTAAAACTGTATTTCTAGTTCTGAGTTTGTAAATCACGTAGCCCTTCGGTAATTCAGTCATAAAAGGAAGCAGGTATGTAGAAGTACATAAAATCTCAAAACTCAGAAATAAATAGCTCCCAATACAAAATTCTTATGTAGAAACTGTGTTTCTGTTAATAAAATTCAAAGTAATCAAGCTTTTCAAAGACAATAAGCTAAAAGAAAAAAAATTTGGGTTTGATTTTCTTGATAAACTGAATTGTTGACTTTGTGGGAGCATTATGTACTTGAAAAAAGTTGTCAAATTGTCATACACGATGAAGTTATTTAAGGTTAGGTCTGAGGTGTAGATGTGTCTGTCATTTCAGATGATCTGAAAATAACAGAGAAATGTCTAAGATAGAAGTTGCATATTTGCACTGCTGTGTGAATGCTGATCCAACAAAACCTATTAAATTGTCAGCAAAGTGTACTGCCTTGTACCTTTGTAGAGTAATCAAGAAGCTGAACTACAAACCATTAAGCAGGTCCATAAGCCCATTTTATTCAACCGTTTTTATGTTTAAGAAGATATTAAGTATTTTGCTTTAGTCAGCATTTTACCTTTTTAAAATCAGATCCTGCTTTGCATTTTAAGCAATCAGATAACCAGCATGATTGACCATCTCCCCTGCCCTGTCTGTGTAATGGCCCAGGTCTGCATCTGTTCACTGCCTATGTGAGCAGCAGCTTAGGGAAGGAACAGATGTCACAGTGCTGGGCAGCCCTGTCCGAGGTCAGGAAGAAAAATTTAATCTGTGAGCAGTATGAGAAATTCTTCGTAGTCTAAATTATTTAGTTCTACATCAAGTTTCAGTTTTGGTCAGTTGCAGCAGAATGCAGGACCCCTTCAAATTACAGTTCAGGAAATGAATTCACAGCATCTGAGTCTCCAGTGCAGATTGTGAGTTCTGCAGCAGATGGGCAGTGGTTTAACATTGCTGCACCTCAAATGGGAATGTGCATGTTGATTCCTATTGACAAAAACACAGAGAAGGAAAATAATCTTCCAGTAGTGACTAACGACAAAAAAACAAAACATTTTTTTCCACCTAATGATGTTGGCTTATCACAGTTGGTTTTTGGACAGAATAATGCCTTAAATTTTGTGGGTTTGCAAGGAATGCAGAGGGTGCAGTCTTGCTGGTTATTTCCACAGCCTGCCATGCTAACAGGGAATGGTTCATTTTACAGATAATTGATGTTTTGAGCTCTAGGTTACATCCACCTGTAGGAAGGTGGATGTGGGACCTGTGCAGATGGGGACAGTTCCTGAGAGACACATAAAGGAAGGTTGGGGGTGAACAGAATTGCCAGGGACACCAGGTTACAGGAGGCTCATTTGTTTGCCCAGGGAAGGGAGCATGAACATCATGTGTCAACACATAGAGCTCAGGAAATAAACCAGAGGAATTAGACATACCAGCACAGTGGCAGGGCTGTGACCTCTTAGGCATCACAGGGACAGTGTGGCATAGCATGTTACAGGTCGCAGGATTCAAGGTTTTTTGGAAAAGCAAATGAGTGGAAGTTGTGTTCTACACAAAACAGTTTATATTTGCCAGGAGCTTTCCCCTGCTTGTTGGAATAAGCACTGAGTTGGCTGAGAGCTGAGGGTTCAAAATTGGTGGGGACACTGGCATGGGGAACACTGTGCAGGCACCTTCTATAAATTGTCTGATCAGGAAGAGGAAGCAGATGAAGCTTTAAATAACTACAAGGAGCTCACAGTTGTAGGTACAGGCTGCTTTGGAATACAAAATTGCTCTGCTATCTGGAGGAGCACCCAGTGGGGTAAAAGCAGTCTAACCAATTTTTGTGGGTCATCAAGAGCATTCTTTTTTGACCCCGATGCTGGATTTGTTACTCCAAAACAAAGAAGGAAGGAATGTGACGGTAAAGGGCAGCCTTGGCGTTAGTGACTCCAGGACCTTAGAATTAAGACCCCAAGAGAAATAAGGAAGACAAATAGTAGAATAAAGATTCTGGCCTTCAGAAGAACAGAATTTGTCTTGTTTGGGAAATTGGTTTGTCGGGACCTCCCAGGAACATGCGATGAGGGCAATGGGGATCAGGAGGGTGCATTGAAACTCAAGAGAACATGCTCACAGAACAAAAACTGGCTCGTCTGGTGAGCTGGAACTCAGGCAGGCAGAGAAACAGCTTGGCTGATCCAGCAGCTCTTATCTGAACTCAAACACCAAAAAGGGAGGGCTGGAAAGATGGAAACAGGTATGAGCCACCCAGGTGTAAGGGAATGGAGTTGAACACTGGAACAGTGGCCCAGAGAGGCTCTGACATCTCTATCTATAGAGATTTTCACAACTGAGCAGGACAAGGTCCTGAGCAACCTGGTTTGATGTCAGCATTGGCCTTGCTTTGAGCAGGGGCTTGGCCTTGAGGCCTCCAGAGGTGCCTTCTGGCCACATGACTCTGATTTCCTATACTTCAGTCCTTATGCAAGCTGCATATTTGAGGCTCCATTCTGCCACCAGACACATTAAGATTAAGACAAGGTAAAAATTATCAAGACTTTAAAACAAAATTGAAAAAGGATGGCTATGATTTTAGGTACTCTTCACTTTTTATTGTCTTTGCTGAACACTTTTAGTGCCCAAGGACTGTGAGCTTTACTGGTGAGTAGTAGACTGATGCTCTGTGATAAAAGCTCACCTTGAGGAGGAGGTTATCTCTGTGCTGAGGCTCCTTGGTGGCACAATGACACTGCTTCAACTCTGATCTGAAGATCCTTCTCTTACTGAAGAAGTCCAATGGGTCCCTGTGTGCTTCGTGTTTGTGGTTATGTTGTAAAAATGTGCATGACACGAGTATTAAAGAAACAGTGGAGGTTGCATGTAGTTTGTTGGTTCTGTCTACAGTGTGTTGTATATATTTGTGGGAACTGAAAACATGACCTTATTTATATAAGGTTTACTTGAGGTTAGGCTGAACAGAAGCATAACAAATTGAATGAAAGTACTATAAGCAAAAAATCCCCAAAACCTCTTGACTCAGTGTTTGGTCTGTGGAATGCTTTTCTGAGTTAACAGAAGGCCTTAAGGCCATTCTGGGTAATGACATTTCTCTAAAATAATATTGCTATCTAAAAAGTAGTACTGAAAGGGTCTAGAATGCCAAACACAGATTTTAAAACCTAACTCAAAAGCCTAACAAAGCTAGGATCTGGGAGGAGCAGAAGAGAAGGAAAATACCCTAACTAGTGTCCCTATTAGAAAATCTGCATTGAGCTTGTAGCCCAGAGAGGAGCTTGAGCTGCACCTTTTGGATCTGGAACTGGTATTGTTCTAGATCCATACTTACATCTGATTTGCCCAAAGAGGAGGCTCCAGCAAGAGTTGAGAGTGTGACTATATAAGGGCAGCAGCCTTGCTAAGGTCCTGGTGAGTGATGCCTCCTGCACTCTTGCTAAATGTCTTAAGATTCTCCCAGAGGGTGCAAATGGATCTGCCAGCACTGAGGAGCAGCTACAGTTACAATCATGCTTATTCCAGCATAGATCATCTCCTCACTGGGGCTGAAAC